ATATTTTAAGTGGTTCTTCTAATGTGCATTTTACATTTTCTTAATCTTTTTAAACAATTTTGTTGACCTCCACATAAAAATTACTGAAGAGAGAAACGTGGAAGTAGATGCAAGTGTAAAGGAGTGCCACGTGGACAATGGGAACAAGGAACTGCACTAACTGTCACATAAATGTCATAAATAGTGGTGTGGTCCTGTCATTAAACTTATCATTTCCAGAATGGTCTTTCTTGAAAATTAGTCCTTGTGACTCAATGAGACTAAACTGTAAAGGTTGAATAAAAAGAACCCCTCATATTGAATGAGCAGGCAGTGTTTTTGAGATGAAAGCAATACACTGAATGGTGTCATCAGCAAATATTGCAAAAGCTATTTTAAAAAGGACCATCAAAATTATTGTGATTTTAAATTCTGCACTTTGCTGTTAGATTGCCATGTTGAAAGGCAAAATAAGTAATTGCATCTACCAATTCATTCTTTAAACTCGATGTTGTTTTTTCAGTTTGCAGATCAAAACGCAACTGCAACTTGATTCAAATGCTTTTTTTCTTTGCTTTTGTGCAATGTGCATTAACTCTGTTGGCTCTTTTTTGCAGAAGTCTCACATATTCAGTATAATTGCTGTTGAATAATTCCTGGCATAGTATTTTTTTTGTTTGTTTTATTTTATGAAACTTATCAAATGTAAATGTGACATGAAGATAATGCATCCTTAGAACTGAAATAGTTTTTAGTTGCATTATTAGAATTTCAGGGACACTTTGAGTCTTTTCATCCATTGATAATAGGTACAAGAACAATGCAAAAACACAAGTTAAATCATATGCTTGACACATTATGTCTTGTTTCCTAAGGTATATTCCTGAGGGTCTTCAGGTTTCCTGTGCCCCTGACTATTACACGTTGGCCCCAGGCTTCAACAACGAATCCTTTGTACTATACATGTTCAGCTGCCACTTCTGTTTCCCTGTCTGCACAATCTTCTTCACATATGGAAGCCTTGTGTTGACAGTCAAAGCTGTAAGTGTTTAAGATGAAATTGTTTTAAAATCTGTGATGAGATCATGTGCTCAAGTGACTATTATACTCTTGTTGTATTAAACAGCATGTGCTCAACTTTAAAGCTGTCCTTTTAAGAAGTTACCATAAGTTCCACAAGACATTTAGGGATGCCTTGTGTCATTAACATTTGCAGTAAATTTAATTTCTCAAAGTTATGAGGCCAAGTGATCACAGATTAGAAACAAATCTATAAACCATTTACAACAGTCCCTCGTTTATCACAGGGGATCAGTACACTGAAGCCCAGCGATAAGTGAAAAACCACGAAGTAGGAATAGTGGTAAACTAGCAAGTAGTAGTTTATATATATATATATATATATATATATATATATATATATATATACTTCCCAAACTCTTGCAATATTCTAAACAATACTTCTACACTCTAAACGCTCTAAAAGAACACAGAATGTCATGATTTTGGCTCCTTGCCTCATCTGCTCTCAGCCACCTGCAAGCGCTTTCGGCCACACCCACTTCTCTCTCTGCACGGAAAACAGCTGATCAGCTGCAGCAGGAAGTTTATCCTGCAGTGTGGGCTGCACAGAGCTGTATAAGGAAGCATTTTCTGCAGCTCTGGGCTGCACAAAGGTGCAGCAGGTGCTAAATAATTTAAAATAATTTATTTTAAATGAAAATTCCATGCCTATCGTGTGGCTCATCCATCAATCAGCCAATTGTATGTCACGTCCAATCTTTTTTTTGAAAAACCATGATAGAGTGAGTCCGCAACAAACGAACCATGAAGTAGGGACTGTATTTAACAAAAAGGACCAGGTGTATTGTCCTACAAAGAGTATGTTTCCATTTAGAAATTTTGTTTTCTGTGTTGTGTAAAGATATTGTTTAGATACAGCTACACTATATGAATGCCAGCACTCACATTTTGCTTTTGTCAGTGCATTGTCCATTGCTGCACAGTATGGTGCAAGCTGCATTGCACCATTGACCCTGAACTCTGCAAAGTAACCCCTTTTAATTTTTATGATTATGTGAAAAAGACATGTTTCAGATCATTGAGAATTTAACCCTGTCAGTAAAATTTTTATCTTATTCTTATATTGGTCTCAACAGTTTAAATGTTTTTTCTGCTGTGTATTGTATCTGCAAAATATTTCTTCTTCTTGCATTTTTAAGTAAAGTGTTAAAACTTTAATCATCTAAGGGTACAAAACTCTAACATTAATTGCTGAATTCTCAATTCCCAGGCCGCAGCTCAGCAGCAGGACTCAGCTTCAACCCAGAAAGCTGAGAGGGAAGTGACACGTATGTGCTTCCTGATGGTTTTGGGCTTCCTTCTTGCTTGGGTCCCATATGCTTCTTTTGCTGCATGGATCTTTCTGAACAAGGGTGCTGCCTTCTCAGCTACAGCCATGGCCATTCCTGCATTTTTTTCGAAGAGCTCAGCACTGTTCAATCCCATTATCTACATTTTGATGAACAAGCAGGTCAGTTGTTTGTTCTGGTGTTGCATCTCAGTAGGCATCTACAGACAGTTTAGGGGCAGGAACATCACTTGGAAATCAGAAAGGATATTCTTTGATCAAAAATTAAAATTGCATTTCCATCCATCCATCCATCCATCCATCCATCCATCCATCCATCCATCCATCCATCCATCCATCCATCCATCCATCCATCCATCCATCCATCCATTATCTTTACGAGCTTCTTTTTTTTTCGGGTTGTCGGGGTCACTGATGCCCATGTCCAGCTATCACTGTGCGAGAGGCGGGGTACACCCTGGACAGGTTGCAAGTCCATCATAGAGCCACATAATGAGACAAATGAGACAAACAACCATTCGCTCTCTCACTCTCACCTAGGGACAATTGCACTTGTACATGTAATACTATATATAGAATATAGCAAATTTAGAATAATTTATAATATAAAATTAATAGAAAAATGTCCTCTGTCTTATTTTGTATTTGTTTCAGTTCCGTAACTGCATGTTGGCTACAATTGGAATGGGTGGCATTGTTGAAGATGAGACCTCGGTGTCAGCCAGCAAGACAGAAGTCTCAACGGCTGCTTAATGATAACCACTCATCTGCAAATAACTTTCTTCCTCATCCTTTCCTAATTCTGAGTGGCAGTCTTGACACAGAAATAAATAAATGGATTCAAGGCAAACTTTTGTCTCAACAAATGGACACTAATCTCCCAATACCAGCCAATGACAGCATTTTACTGTTCACATTCATAATTAATGTCTGTGTCTGGAGGAAATTGAATTTAAATATGAAACACAACCTCAAGTGTTTCCTTGTTCAAAACGGATGTTAACATCTGCTTGTAAAATGTTTGGATGGTGAGTGGGTGAGATTCACCTGTGTATATTTATGAAATGAAATATTTTGCATATGTTTCATCCTCTGTCATAATAGTCTGTAAATATTTTATAAAAAAGGAAAAAAAAGCTGTAGGAAAAACAGATTAAATGCATGCATGAAAAGAGATGTTGATTGATGCATTCTTGTTTTCCAATCAGGTTGTTCAAGAAGTTTGCTTTTACTAATTTGAGGCAAGACAGTCAGTGTTTATGGGTTGTTGTTGTTGATTTTTTTTAAGGAAATACTAAACATATATATTCATAAACGTATACAACCCACTGTTTTAAACTTAATTCAATTCTGTCAATTTCAATACAGAAAAAAAATAACCACAAGAAGTCTGAACTTTGAACAAACTTATTTACAGTTTATGTGTGAACTCCTAACTGGCACAGTATCAATAAAAATAAAATATACCTGGTAATGTCAGATACAAAATATTGTCAGGCTAGCTTGCAAAGGCTGATATGTTTTGACAGGGAAATTCCCTCCAGTTTTTCATCACCTTGGTTTAGCTTAACTTGCATCTTTCAGTATCCATCCATCCATTTTTATACCAACTTTTCAATGTTTTTGTCTCAAGAAACAGGTTCCTATCTAGAAATATAGAATGCTGGAAAGAAAATGGCACTTCACTAACATGGAAGAATTTTATCTAACTTGAGATCACCTGCTAACATACTGTATAAGAAAGCCCTTCATAAAGCTAGAACTGTACATTATTCATCTTTTAATATATGAGAATAAAAATAACCCTGGGTTTCTGTTCAGTACTATAGTTAGACTAGTGAAAAGTTCTATCTCTGTTGACCCATGTATCCCAACAGCTATAAGCAGTAATAACTTCAAGAAATTATTTATAAATAAAATTATTTAAATTAGAAAGAAAATTCAAACCATCTTTCCTATTATTGCCTTTGATTTCCGGTTAGATGAGGCAGCTTTAGAAATGTCACTAGAACCTGATTAATGTTTGGATTGTTTTTGTACTGTTGAGCTCTCTGAATTGTCAAAAATAATAGTTTCATCCAAACCATCAACATGCCTGCTAGACCCACTCCCAACCAGACTGTTTAAAGAGGTACAGTATTTTCCTAATTAATATCCACATTTTGGATCTGTTTAATTTATCTTTAACGAATGGTTACTTACAGTGCCTTGCGGAAGTATTTGGCCCCCTTGAACTTTTCAACCTTTTGCCACATTTCAGGTTTCAAAAATAAAGATAAAATTTTTTAATTTTTTGTGAAGAATCAACAAGTGGGACACAATCGTGAAGTGGAATGAAATTTATTGGATGTGTCAAACTGTTTTAACAAATAAAAAACTGAAAAGTGGGGCGTGCAATATTATTCAGCCCCCTTGCATTAATACTTTGTAGCGCCGACTTTTTCTGCAATTACAGCTGCAAATCACTTGGGGTATGTCTCTATCAGTTTTGCACATCGAGAGACTGAAATTCTTGCCCATTCTTTCTTGCAAAACATCTCGAGCTCAGTGAGGTTGGATGGAGAGCGTTTGTGAACAGCAGTCTTCAGCTCTTTCCATTGATTCTCGATTGGATTCAGGTCTGGACTTTGACTTGGCCATTCCAACACCTGGATATGTTTATTTGTGAACCATTCCATTGTAGATTTGGCTTTATGTTTTGGATCATTGTCTTGTTGGAAGATAAATCTCCGCCCCAGTCTCAGGTCTCTTGCAGACTCAAACAGGTTTTCTTCCAGAATGATCCTGTATTTGCCCCATCCATCTTCCCATCAATTCTGACCATCTTCCCTGTCCCTGCTGATGAAAAGCAGGCCCAAACCTTGATGCTGCCACCACCATGTTTGACAGTGGGGATGGTGTGTTCAGGGTGATGAGCTGTGTTGCTTTTACGCCAAACATATTGTTTTGCATTGTGGCCAAACAGTTCAATTTTGGTTTCATCTGACCAGAGCACCTTCTTCCACATGTTTGGGTGTCTCCCAGGTGGCTTGTGGCAAACTTTAAACAAAACTTTTTATGGATATCTTTGAGAAATGGCTTTCTTCTTGCCACTCTTCCATAAAGGCCAGATTTGTGCAGTGTACGACTGATTGTTGTCCTATGGACAGACTCTCCTACCTTAGCTGTAGATCTCTGCAGTTCATCCAGAGTGATCATGGGCCTCTTGGCTGCATCTCTTATCAGTCTTCTCCTTGTTCGAGATGAAAGTTTAGAGGGACAGCCTGGTCTTGGTAGATTTACAGTGGTCTGATACTCCTTCCATTTCAATATGATTGCTTGCACAGTGCTCCTTGGGATGATTAAAGCTTGGAAAATCTTTTTGTATCCAAATCCGGCTTTAAACTTCTCCACAACAGTATCTCGGACCTGCCTGGTGTGTTCCTTGGTCTTCATGATGCTCTCTGCGCTTTGAACAGAACCCTGAGACTATCACAGAGCAGCTGCATTTATACGGAGACTTGATTACACACAGGTGGATTCTATTTATCATCATCAGTCATTTGGGACAACATTGGGTCATTCATAGATCCTCACTGAACTTTTGGAGTGAGTTTGCTACACTGAAAGTAAAGGGGCCGAATAATATTGCATGCCCCACTTTTCAGTTTTTTATTTGTTAAAAAAGTTTGACACATCCAATAAATTTCATTCCACTTCACGATTGTGTCCCACTTGTTGTTGATTCTTCACAAAAATTTTAAATTTTATATCTTTATTTTTGAAGCCTGAAATGTGGCAAAAGATTGAAAAGTTCAAGGGGGCCGAATACTTTCGCAAGGCACTGTACTACATTGCTTTAAGGTTGCTATAATTTAACCTTTACTTAAGAAACCTGATTTTGCTTCAGAAACCAAGTCAATTGTAGACTTATATCTAATCTAACATCCATCTTAAAAATTCTTGAGAAAATAGTTGCAAATCAATAGTGTGAACATAAGAACAGAAATAATCTGTTTGAGGAGTTTCATTCAGGGTTTAGAGCTCAGCATAACACACAAACAGAACTAGTGAAAGTTATTAATGATATTTTCATGGTCTCAGATTATGGAGTTGTGTCTATACTGGTCCTGTTAGACTTCAGTTCTGCATTTGATACAGTTGATCACAATATTTTATTACAGAGGTTTGAATATGATATTGTGATTACATGAACAACTCTAAAATTATTTAAATCATACAGTATTTATTTGATGGATTCCAGTTTGTAAATGTTAATAATGAATTTTATTTAGACACCAAAGTTACTCATGGAGTTCCTCAGATTTCATTGCTTGGAACAATACTCTATTTTATATATGCTTCCATTAGGTAAAGTTATTAAACAGCAAGGGATAAATTTTGATTGTTATGATGATGATACTTATTTGTGTTTGCCCATGAAACCTGATGAATCCAGTCAGTGACTTAGATTACAAGCATGTCTAAAAGACGTAAAAACCTGAATCACCCTTAATTTTCTGCTTTTAAACTCAGACAAGATGGAGGTTGTAGTGTTTGGACTTGAGCATATTAGGGAAAAAAAATCAGCCTTTCACTTCACCTGGATGACATTAATTTGGTATTCAGGTTTAATGTAAAAAACCTTGGTGTTAATTCAGATCAGAATATGTCTTTTAACACTCACATTAAAAAAGTTACCAGGACCGCTTTCCACCACCTGTGTAATGCCACTAAAATTAGAAACATCTTGTCCAAAAATGATGCAGAAAAACTGGTCCATGCATTCATCACATCTAGGCTGGACTATTGCAATTGTTTATTATCCGGGTGTCCAAAAAATTCATTAAAAAGTCTTCAGTTGATTCAAAATGCTTCTGCCAGGGTTTTACTAAAATTTGAAGAGATCACATTTCTCCAGTTTTAGCTTCACTGGCTACCTATCAAATTCAGAATAGAATAGAAAATAGAAAATCTTACTTCTAACATACACCTCTTTGAATCACAACCATATAATGGTGGAGGAGTTTGTGCACCTGAATGATCCTAGGAGCTATGCTGTCTGGAGCAATTATATTTGCCCCTGGTAGGGTCTTGCAAGGCAGATTGGTCCTAGGTGACAGGTCAGACAAAAAGCGATTTCAGAGACTTTTGATGGACAAAACAGAACAAGGGACTCTGTGTCCCTTTCCTGGACATGGGTTACCAGGGAGCCAGGCCTGGGGAAGGGGCTCATCAACAAGTACCTGGTGACTGGGTCTCTACCCATGGGGCGTGGTCGGGTTCAGCCTGAAGGAGCAAAATGGGTTTGTCTTCCTGTGGGCTCACCACCTGTAGGAGGGGCCACAAAAATCAGGTGCATGATGCCATGGGCAGTGGCTGAAGGTGGGGGCCTTGGCGCTCTAACCCTGGCTTACCAAAGCTGGCTCTTGGGACATGGAATGTGAACTCTCTGGCAGGGAAGGAGCCTGAGCTTGTGCGTGAGGTTGAAAGGTATTGACTAGATAATGTTGGCTTCACCTCTATGCACAGCATGGGCTGTAGAACCAATCTCCTTGAGAAGGGCTGGAACCTTATTCCACTCTTTTTTCAGTGAGCTTGGTTCTGTGACAGAACACACATTAGCACAATGATCAACAGTCACCATATCTGCAAACTAGTCATATCCATATCTTTGTGGAGCCCTTCTGATTCTGCTTCCTCTTTTAAGAGTTTCATCGACAGTGATGTCATCATCAGTTATTTCCTTTTCCAGTGATAGTAATCATCTCTTT